TCTTCTTTGGTGCTGGAAATTGAACCAAAGGCCTCATACATGCCCAGAAAGTGCTTTGTTACTGAGCTACATTCGCCAGCTCCTCCTGTTCGTTTTTTTTATTTTAGGGGAAAGTCTTGATACATCGCCCCGCTAGTTTTGAATTTACTCTGCCCCAGATGGGCCTTGAGCCTGCAGTCCCCTTGCCTCGGCCTCCCAAGCAGCCAGCACTGTAGGTTTGTGGTAATACAGTGAATTCATTTCCCAAATTTCAACGATGCTGCATCGCTTTCTCCTCCTTCGTTAGGAACTTAGTAATAGGACACACTTGGAAAGGTTCTGTCTCAGAGTTTGTGGGCTCAGTCACAGCACAGACTGGCCATATTTTTAAACAACTCTGAAACCCACCATTGCCATTCTCTGTGGTATTTATCTCTGGCCAGTTTCCAGCTATAGGAGCTGTGGAAACTTACACAGCAAAGTAAAGATATCCACTTCCCACAGCTAACTCTCCAACTCTCCCTGACAAGAAACCCAGCTACCCGCACACAAGACCATAAACCTGTATACAACGGTGTGTCTGTGTGCAAATTGGATATTGACTGTAAGATGATATCCACTGTAAGACATACTGTCTCTGTACTTATGGCATCTAGGGGAGAAAAGAAACATGGCCATACAACCACTGTAAGACACATCCGATTTAGGGTTGTTGAGGTGTGCCAAAAGAAGTATTGCCTTGTTCCATAAAGCTCATTACATAAAGCTCCAGAAAATACAAAATTATGAACTTCAATGATTTGGAGGTTAATGAAGATGTTTAGTGTAACACTATGTAAGTCTATTAAAAATCCCCATCCTGTATGATTTAACAGATACATCTTTATGTATATTATAATTCAATAAAGTTGATTAAGACAAAGAAGACTTAGACCCAGACTATGGGTCTATGAGAGTGTCAGATAGTGAGGGGAATTCATTCTGAGGGGAATGAAGCTTGGTCAATACAAAGAAACTTCCTATGACATAGATGTTTTTAAATATTGAAGGAGAATGGGGTCAAGGGATGAAAAGGAGGGGTCTGACCTGCGTGTGTCACTTCAAGGGAAGACAGGACAGAGATGCGCTGAACAAGAATGGAAGCTGGAAGAGAAGGCAGAAGCAAAGGGAGAGGAGGCAAGGTGTCCTGCCTTCTTATCAGGGTGTCTAGATGCCACTTGGAAGGT